GCAGCCGAGTTTCTTTTGCTTTGTTTGTCTAATGAAAATGTCAAACGGTCTGCCAGAGTCCCGGGTTAATTGAACGCATGTCGCTGGCTTGAATTGAAAAAATCCCAAGAAATAGCAAAAGCCATCGATCAGGTCTGCGTTCAGCGTTCTGCGCTCAATTTCACATTTGGCGACGACACTATAAATCAACGCCGAATCCCGAATACTGCGGAGAAGGAGCGCTGAAAAATATGCTACATAATTTGCTCGCAATAAAATGCTTAAAGTGCTGCGCCACTCGACAGCTCTCGGAGCGGAAAACAATGGAGCGGGACAGGGGACGTACGAACGGAAAATGGATGTCGCTGGTTTTCGGTTCCGTTCGATTGCATTTCATTGCACTGAAAAGTTTTGGAGCTCTCCTTTCCGGAGCTCTTACGTCCCCTTCCTTCCTTCCTTCGGCTGTTGTTGCTCTTGGCCGGCATAGGGGAAATAGTCTATGGCAGGCGAAACTTTTTGGCCACAAATGGCAGTAAGTCAAGTTGACAGAAGAAGCCAAGTTTAAGTCGAGCCTTTCAAGTGCACACACGAGTGCTGACCACAAATTGTGCAATTCTCGGCTGCCATTCCAAGGCCTTTCATTATCCACCGAAAATTGATTAAGTCCTGCTTTGGTTTAGAAGCGTTGTATTTCCATTGATTACTTACTGTGACCAGTTTTTTTTTTTTTTTTTTTGGCTAAGCTTACCACACGAACGTATACAGGTTGCGAGCGAGAAGAATCACATCGAAAAGTTTTGTGAAAATTATGCGAATGAGTTCTCAGGGATGGAAGACTTTGAGCTTTACGATGCATACACTTTGAGCCTGGCCTTGTAGATCTTATTTAAGCTTAAGTAGTAGGGTCCTGGGTTATCCTGGGTTCTCAACTCTTTTGGCAATTTCTAAGTTTTTTCTCTTTAAAATGATTTTTTAGAAGTTAGAAAAATGTAACCCCAAAAATATTTTAAATTCGTCTTTAAACCTAAATATTTTGAAGTTGTCAAAAATGTTCCTGTGCAATAAGTAATATTGATAAGCTTGTAAATTTTTCTTTAACATAAAAAAAAACACATAGTATAAAATATAGGTATATTCCAAAAACAACAAAAAATTATATTAAACAGATTTAAAATTGATAAAAAAAAGTTTATTTGAATATATTTATATTAAACTTACATTTTAAGAAATAAACGTTAAACCTATAAATAAAATACGTAAGCATAAAAAAATCGTACATTTTTGAAAATGTAATTTCAAGAAAAAGTATAACTGTGGCGAATTTTAAGGGTTACATTTTTCTTAGTACATCTCTTATACTAAATCAACTTCTCAGACTTAAAGATCGAAAAAAACCTTTTTTAATTTTTTGCCCCTAAATTCGGTTCCAAGAAACTTTGCCAAAACCACAAGCCATTAAAAACATTTAGAAAATATGTAGTATTAGTATATTAAGGCGTTGTGAGGGTTAGTCGATAAGGCATTTTTGCAGTGCTTGGTTCAAAGATACTTTTTAATGAACTCACTCTTGGTGCTTTGGCTTACGGTTAGTCAGCGATTAGCTTGTTGGTTACACGAAGCAGTTTTATGGGTTGTGGGTTGTATTTGTACAGTAAAGATTAATTATTTTCCCGCCGACACTGCAACATTGATAAATAAATGACATGCAATCGCTCTCGGGCCCACAAGTAAAAATTTAATTGAACAAGGGAAATTAAATAACATAATATTAAATGTTTTTTCCTGTCCGTAATTAAGCGCATGCGAGAAACGCACAGACTGCAAGATAAAGATATTAAAGAGAGCGAGAAAGAGTTGGCTAGAGGGAAATTAGAGCGAGACCGACAAGACAATTAAAATGCACGCAGCGGAACAACAGTTTTTTGCATTCCATATTTTATATTATAGACAGAGTGTACAAATACAGAAGGATATTTATATATATAAAGAGAGAGTGAGAGAGAGAGGAGCAGGAAAGATAATAAAAAATGACGAGCAAGGTAATGCAAACATGCTAGGAAAAAAATGTTGAAATTATACGATAGTTTTGTTTGTTGTTCAAATTCCGGCTGTTTTTACGTCCCAATATGCTAGAGTTCAATTTGGCGCACATACACACAATTACACGCGCACACACACTCACACATTTACAAAGATAAAGATATTTATATGGATTTAAGCTACTAAACCTAGCACGCTACTAAGTTTTTAGTCACACAGAGCACGGGCCACAGCACAAAGAGAGAGAGAGAGATATATATTATATATAATGAGAGACAGAGAGAGAGCATTGTGATTACAGTTTTAGACACCAATATAGGAATAGAATCGGTAAATTTGCATGGATCACAATAAATTGAGTCCTTAAATTTAGACTGTACCTAATTGTCGATCTGAATTTTTCATTGATTTTCATTTTAGCAAGCGTTGCATACTTTTGGGTTGATTTCTTTTTGAGGGTGAAATAGGTGTAATTAAATGTCGCGTACCTGCGTTTGAAAGAAATGAATAGAAAAAGTGTTTAACAGGAGTACGAGTGTGTGTGGGTGTGTTCTGTGTGGTCATTTTGGAGATTTAGTGCGTGCTTCGCATTGAGTAAGAGAAAGTAGGAGAGAAAGTAGAAAGGAAACCATAGGAATCTTGTCTCGTGTGTTTGTGAAAAAGAAAGGCTTAATTTCAAGCTTAAATAAATATTAATAGCAACGATTGAAGCTCGCAGCGGAAATATTCCCAGAACAGTGCCACATGTGTCAACATTGATAATAATAATAAAAGAAACGAATTAAATTAAAAGAAATGATTTTTATGTTTTCCTATCAATTCCGGTTTTGGCTTCATTACATACTTTTCAGGGTCTTTATAATCATTTGAAGCCCAAGTCTGCCCCAAAAGTACGCATGGAGAATACATGCCAAATTTATTTGATTTCGATGGCAAATTAACAAAGATAAATGGATCGTTTTGACAAGAAATAAATATATTTTCTTTTTAATGCAAGGTAAGATGAAATGCGCTCAATTGGCTTTGCTAAGTGGGGTTCGGTACTCAAATTTAATTTTGGTTGGGTTTTTAGCCGGCATTGCTAAATTCAAAGGCTTTCTAAACTACGAAAAACATTTCCTTACATTGTATTTATAAATTGTATTTGTTATAGAAAACACGCCAACTCTGACTTACCCAGACCGCTGGAAATGTATTTGCATTATGACTTACAGAACCCAAATCTAAGGAACAACATTTATCCACCCAAAAAGCCTTTAAACTCACAGCCAAAATTTCTGCTGTGTACACGTTTCGGTATTTTCTTTTTTTGCTGCCTTATTTGTTTTGTATTCTTTGGTTGTTTTTGTTTTTAGCGCTTGCTTCAACATGTGAATGTTCCACAAAAAAATGGTTTCGGGCCGAAATTAAAATGTGCATTTCAATTTAAGGCAAAAGTTTCGCTTTGGCAGCCGACTCGACGCGTATCGGTCGGCATTGTCAAAGGGAAAATTTTTTCACTTTCATTTGCCGTTTTTGTAAAACATTCAATTTTATTTTTTTTCATTTGGATTCTTTGTTTTTTTTGTTGCCAAGCGTTTTTGTTGACTTCTTGATTGGTTTGACTTTGTGGAACAAATTTCGCAATTGAATCAAGTTGAGCTCCTAGATCGAAAACGGGAATGAGAGGCAAGTAAGCTTTACAGAATCTTTTGGGAAAACTTGATACCATTTTGTTTATTTTATATTAATGCATTTTGCTTGAGTGTTTGTTTGGCGTTTGATTGTTTTGTTTTTCTTTTGTGGTTGCTGTTGGTGGTTCGTTTTTGGTTGTTAGTTAATGTTGCATACTTTCTTTTTGTTTATCGTTTGATTGTTTCATATGTCTGTTGTTTTCTTTTGTTTTGTTGATGACTACAAATGAAAAATTAAAGCCAACAAACCGAGAAAAAACAACTGAAAATTGGTGAAACTAATTGCTAATTGATATAGGAGAGAAGGAGAGCGGACAAAATGTATTTTCTATGTAAATTAAGCTAAATTTGCAAATGGCAAACTTGTTGAGTTTCGCCACTGATTTATGCTAATCACTGCCCCGATGGTATGTTAATTAAACCGCTCTAAATTTACAAGAGGCAGTAATTGCGTTAATGTACAATTTACTCGACTCAAATGTGGTGCCCAACATGGGGCCTTAAATTACTCAATTATGGCGCCCGACGTGGGGCCTTAAATTTATGAAATTATAGCTTAACTTATCTCATTTTGTAGAAACTCATTCTCTGCCTAGGCATGTATATTTAATGTGGATGGGCACTGGGTTCACACGTTTGCTCAAGTAAGGCTGGCAGTCCTTGCAGTACAGTCGCTGGCTCCTTACACAAAACGGCATGGAGGGGTCGTTCAAATCAAAGCAATGAAAATGCTTGTAAATATTCAATGCAATTCTTTTGGTAGGAACCTTTTCATTCGCTAGCCCCGCTTTGCAGTTAATAAAATATTTAAAATATTTTATTGGCTTCGGCATAATGCTCAAACACACACCAATGCAGACCAAGAAAAATATTTTTAATATTTCATGTGCAAATGCGTACTGGGCTTAGTACGAAAATTAATGAACTAAAAGTACAAAAGTTTCAGTTTCAAATAAAAAATGTATAACAGTTTGCATACAAAAAGAAAAAAGAAGCGGACAGATAGAGGATTGGGTATGTTGGGAAAGAAGAGAGAGAGAGAGATCAAATGCAAAGCAAGTGAATTATTTACAAGCATTTTCATTGTACTTTCAAATTACAACCAACTGCAAGACGGCAACGTAAGCGGCACAGCGCAATTGCATGGAGGCAATCACGCAGGTGATCATTACGTTACACATATACAAAGAAACACGTGAGACACTTGCACGTGATGAACGAACGATAGAACGGAAAAAAATGGGTTTGTTTCCATATTTTCTTGTATGCAAATGAGTGGTTTTTTTAAGTGGATGCTTTGACACTTACTTCCGGCGGTGGCGGAGGCGGCTCGGGTGGCGCCACAGGCGTGGTCACGTATGTGTTTTTCTAGTTACGCAATTGGTGAACGATAACGGTTAACGGTTCGTTAACGGATTACATCGACATTGGCGAAAGTTGAAAATCAAAAATGTAAGACATAAGACACATAATTTGTGTGATGTGTTGCGTGAAACTTATGCGTTATTGGTAGGCGAAAATTACAGGGTGAAAGAATATAGTAGTTTTGAGAAGAATGACAGCGAGTGAAAGAAAGGATAGTTGAAAATTATTGTGTTGTTTTTGTGCGTGTTTAGCCAAATAAAGTGTTTAATCCGGTTGATCTGTGGATCCTCGGGAAAACAAGAGATCCATGGACCAACACCTCAAAACTAAAGCATAATCTGTGTACTTGTCGCTACAAAACTATAAACGTGTTTTAAATCATAAATCATTTGATGTGCTTTATATTTGTTATGTAGGTAATTTGTATTTGATATTTCATAGCTCGTTTTTGGTTTTAGTTTATCTGAGTTAGGATTAGTGGAGAATAGTTAAAAGCACTTGCTTTGGATACTGTTGAGTACTACTCGACTAGTTTAACAGGGTGCAGCGTGTGAGTGGAAGGAACGCACTAGATATGTCTGATTTGTTAGTGGTATTGTGGGTGAAGAACTACACACGTCTTTGATTATACTGATTTTTATTTATACTTTACATAGAGTTTAAGCAAGTGCAAAGTAGGCGAAAGTGGCTGAGTTTGCTTGGGGCTGGTGATTAGGGTAGGGTCTCTGTTGGTGGGGGCTTATCTTTGAGGTGGGGTCTGTGCAATGTTTCAACTACAGTTGAAGCTAAGTGTGGGACTGGGTGACAGACAGATAGTTATTGGTTAGAGCGTTTATAGAAAGTTACACTTAGTGGGATAGAGACAGAAGGTTAGGCAGAGAGCTAGACAGAGAGAGATAGTTAGAGAGAGATAGAGGTAGAGAGTTGAGCAAAAGCACTAATAGTTTGCTGAGAATTGAATAAAGGTGGTTAAGCTAGTTGTACAGCGCATTTAGTTGTTGGCTGGCAGAGCTCTTAGACTTGAAATATATAGTATCTATGGATATATCGCATATTATAAAATGTCTACTGAGTTAACAGTTAATTCAAGATTCGTTCCAAAGCGGCTCTACGTTCTAGAATCGGGGATAGTTGGGCACACGCTAAATTAACTGCAATATCAAGTAAAAAAGAGATTGAGAAAAAGTTGAATTCTATTTAGTTAACCTAGCATAGAGTTGCCACACTACTTAAGGAAAAACGTATGCTCTGATGGTAGTTAACTCTGGGTCGTTTCTTAAATCAAAATAGAGTTTGTGTCTTGGGCTCGAAACTAGGGAGGCTAAAATAGAGTAAGGGACAGGTTGAGAGATAGATAGATGGGGAGAGAGAAGTACAGATCGGAAAGATAGTCAGATAGCGGGGTAGTACTTGGGTGGGTTTTCAGGTTGGATTGGGGGCTGGAAATTAGAATTTCATTAAAGCTGATGATTTTCATTTGACGACTTTTTAGAAACTTGCGCTCTTTGGTTTTAGTTTGGGTACTTAGAGGGTCTGAGATTATACTTTTGCTTTACTGAATTGTTTTTTTTTTATTTTGTAGGGGCTCTTCGGTTCAGAAGAAGACAGAGAGAGATTCATAGAATGTGGTTTAAATTTAATTAGGTATTTTGTTTGGTATTTTATATTATTACCCATGACTCAGGTGGATAACGAGGAAATGGAGCTATTTCTTTAGTTGCTACATTACTAGGCAACTCAAGTCTTCCACCTAATTTTCGTAGCTTTCTTCTTCTCGCCACCCGAGATTTCGATCTTAGCATCAATGCGGCCTGCATCTTGGTGTTGTTTTTTTTTCTTTTGTTTACGGTTAAAGTTCTTTTCTTATTTTTTTACTTGTTTGCTGTCAACGGTGCGTATGCGTCACGTCAGTGGTGCAGTGGCGTAGCCGTTGCGTGGGGCGTGGTCGAGTTGCGTTCACAGTTCGAAATCAATGGGATGACACAGGTTACGTTTAGGAGCTTAATAACGTCCAAACTAAATGTCACGTCTGGGCGTTACGTGAGTCGTGAGGGCAGCATCCAAAAGGCGTGCGTTCAGTCCGTTTACTTTCTCAACTTTCTCAACAACTACGAGAACGTACTGATAGGCACAAAGAGGAGGAGTATAGAAATAGAAGCAAAGAGTAATATTTTTTTTTTGGTTTTTTTTTAAAACAGATTTCTATGTGTAGTGCTGTAGTTCTTGTGGTGGTTGTTGTTGGGGTTTCTGTAGCTGTGGCGGTTGGAAAACTGCGTCAGCCTCGAATGGCTGGCGCAGTTGAGTGGCGGGCTGAGGATGGGCTGCGTTGATCGCCAGTGGTCGGCTGCTATTCTAGCTCCGTTAAGTCGTTGTTGTTGTGGTTGCTGTGGTGGCTCCGGTTTCCAGCGGTGATGCTTCTGGCTGCGCCGGCGACTCGTCCTGCGGCGCTCCTGCGAGTCCTCCTGGTTCATAAACGGCGTGGAGATCGGGAAACGGATGCGGGCTCGGGCTCTGCTATGGATATTTATCGTTACGTAGCGGAGCGTAACGTAACGCAACGCCTGGCCTTTTGCTACGTAGCGTTCACGTCGCGCAGCATTGTATTCGTAGGCGATTTCATTTTCGTTTGGATTTTGGCATTGAAAGCTATAAACATTTATTAATATCTATGAATTGACCGTTGCCGTTAGCGCAGCGTTAACGTAGGCGCACTGCGTCGTAAAGGTAAGTGATTGATCGCCTTAGTCTATGCATTTCCTAGTTTTTATCAATTTTGTTGCACGTAGAAAAGTCTTCGAGTTTAGTTATTAGTTATTTAACTTATTTATTTATTCTTTTTCGTTTTGTATTCCGCTTATACTAGTAATTAACGTTAGTGGCAACGAAGTTGAGTTTTAGAGTTTATTTCGTTTAGGCTACAATGAGAGAAGGCAATGTCGTTGTCGAATTTTATTGTTGAAGTAACTCTTATTGGTTGTTCAATATATTATTTTGGTTCGATCACATTTGGTGCAGTTAATTTAAGTTTTAGTAAGTAGAAAAAATATTTAAAGCTTTCTTGTTATGTTTTGTTGTTGTAGCACTAAATGTCATTATCGCTAGCTATATAAAAGTCAAGCCCACACAATATATGCTCATTTTGATTTCTCGTTGCCTTTCCGCTGCTGCCATTTTCCGAGGCTTAATTAACGTTGATTTGGTTGTTTACTAAAAGTGTCTTTATTTATATTTTATTAGTGTTTCATATCACATTTGTTGCAGTTTTCCAATTCATGGCTTTCGTTTGTTTTACTCAATTTTTATATTGCACACGGGTGTTCTTTTTGTGTTCTTTGCTGCGGCTCCATTTAAAATTTGCTGTTGAATGGATAAATAACTTTTGATTTCAATTATGGTTTATTCAATGCGTTAAGCTTAACTTTTCGTTTTATTACTTTGTGTACATTTGTAGAGCTTTAAATCAATGGCCGAAAAATTAAATATTGTATGTTGATCCGAATAATATTTACTTATGTGCTTATTGTAAATGTTGATTTATTTTCGTTTGATATTGTTAATTTGAATTTGGTATTTCTGATAGTTTTATTAATTCAATTTATTATAGTGCCTGTTTGGCTTTAGTTGTTTTATCAAGTTATTGACTTAAGTCCATGAATATAAACGAGAATTCTGAGAATCCGCTTGCAAACAATGAAGCCCATGTCAATAAACCAAATTATTCATTTATGAAGATAGCTCCACTTGAATGCACTCTTGTGCACTTTTGGCACATCTTCGACTTGAATCAATTTCAGACCCTTTCCCCTAGTGACTGAAAAGTTAAGACATGTCGAGTGCAAAGTTTCCAGGCCGTTGCAAATCACTTGCAAAAATCTGGTGAGTAATGCAAACATAGAAAATATTTATGGCATATAAGCCATGTTGCTGCCCTGCAATGCCATAATTCAAATGGCTGCGTTGAGATGGGAGCACGAGAAAGGAAGGCCGTGGAAAGTTACGGCAGCTCAGAGCTGCAGCTGCTGGAATTCATATGCAAATCCTGCAGCGGAGGATGCTCCGCAGCAGGGAAGCCTTTGTTGGGCAAGTGGAACGGCGACCTAAGCAAAACTGGCAACTGCGAACCGAAAATTTCAATAATTCAACAGCGCAAAGCGGAAAAAGTCACTCGTTGAACGATGCAGATGAAATTTTAATGAAATACAGATTCATGCAAAAGCCACACACACTCTCAGACGCAGCGGACATACACATCCCTTCATACAGCTGCGTTCAAATTAATAGCAGCACACCCTTTCAAATATTTGTTAAGATACAAATACACGTGAAAAGCTAGAAATGGATTTATATTAATTAAATACCAATTAAAATAATTTATATATCTTGGATAGTTGAATTAATATCCACTTAATAGAATACATATAAGAGAAACATATTCAATTCTTCCTGAGGTTTCTTTAAGACTACTAGCTTACCTAAATAAATATCACTTCTACTGTGTCTTGGCAAAATTAATAAAATGTGAGTAAAAACTTATATGGTTTGTGTACTCCATTTTTGATAGAAGCCTCGTATTTTTAATTTGTAAATTGAAAACTACTATTATGTCCGCAACTGTGCATCCATATCCGTACAAAACCCAGACCTCGTGGTCGTTAATAGAGAAAAACATGGCACAGGCGCAGCTGACATAACAAAAGCTGGCTGGCTGACTCCGACTGACTGGTTGCAACGCCTAAAAGATTGCTACATTTTCGCAATTAAACACAGACGCGGCACACACTCGCAGTGCGTTGAGTATGTGTATGTGTATGTGCTATGTGTCTGTGTGCGTTACTACACATGTTGCTATTTGGCAGCTAGTCGCCAACAGCGGCAGCAACAATGTCATGCTGACAACATGAGCGCATAAAAAGAATACTATGAAAATTAATTTGTGCGCCATGATTTTGCCAAAGAGATACATATAGCTGGGATAAAGGGGCAGAGAAAGGGGACAAAGGGTTTCGAAAGAGTGGAAATAATATATGACCCTTTGCTGTAAATTTCATTAACACTGAATTGCCCTATTCTTTTGTGAGAAATTGTCTGCCGGGTACCATGCATTTTATGGCCAATTGTGTCGAGTGCATTACACCGAAATTTATACAGCTCTGCGGATAAAGTTAAGTGGATATTCCAAAGATTTTTGCCAAGGGCACTTCAATTTCATCAGCACTGCAATGATAGATGGTCGATAATAGTTAAACTCTTTCAATTATTAAATGCCATCAATAACTCAGTGAAGGCAAGGGATTTACTGCTAAAGGGCATGTTTTTATTAATGGACCCAATAGGTTTACTTGACATTTTTTATAACTTTTTATGGTATGAAAAAATTGAATTACCAAAATATTCTACAAGTACGGAGTTTCCAAAGGGGCTTTAAAGGTTTTATAAATCGTTTATTGTGGTGTTTTATGATCTCTTAGTGTGCAATAATTAAATAACGGTATTTTCTGCAAGGCTGTTTTTTGCCTTCACAAGTAAAAAATGTATTTTCGTAACAAAATCATCTGATTTACGAAATACCACCACAGTTTACCTTTAACCTTTTTACCAGTGCCAGTATGCAGACTATTATAGAACATTATAATGTTTGAACTTATGGAAATTCAACTTTCACATTTCGACGCCAGTAAGAGTGTGGCACTGCCAAATCAATATGATGGTAAGCAGGAGGCACGAAAGTAGCCCATAAAACCGCAACCAAGTAGCCAAACACATAGCCATAGCCCCCAAAATCGACTGTTGCTCATGGGGGCATTGGTGAGTGCATATATCTCAGGTTAATTAATGTGAATGGCGAAACGCTCTGTCGGGGCGAATTTTTGGCACAACGCCCGCTGACTTGTTCACCTGATGGCACTGGCAGTGGGTCTCTCGACGGGCGACTTGTCTGCTGGTAATTAAAGGCGAACGAGGCGCCCCTCAACGAGGAATTTGCATATGCCACATGCCGTGAGAAATGGCAACTGTCCTCGTTGAGAGTCATGTTATTTGATTGTTGACAGCCATCGAGGCGACTGAGTGTGTGTCTGCGTGCCTGCTGTTTCTGTTTGCTGTTTGCTCGACATTGGCTGGTAGACATACTCTGGGCAACCACAATCCAGCGTTAATTGAGCCTAAGTTATTGATATGTTTCGATGCGGGTCAGGCTTGAACGCCACGTAATTTTTGAGGAATTTTTTAGTGGAATGTAAACTATTTAATAATATCCATAAACAAATCGATACATTGAAATGTGTAATAGGTTTATTATTTTGGAATAATTACAGCATAGGGCTTGGATATAAAAAGCAATCATTTTTTGTTAATATTTGTAAACGTTTATATCAATTGTGTGGCTCTTTAATAATTGACGAATTACTGAAGTTAATTTTAAGAATATGCATTATTTAGTTAGAAACGTAAGTAACGTCAATAAATTTATAAATAAATTAGCATTAATAAGACACCCAATCAAATAAATACATATTTGACCAGAGCACACATTCATTAATTTCAATATATTTACTCAAAAAAATGTTTAAATGTTGTTAAATAGCACATTGTTATGGTTAAACGAATGCAAATCGACGTATTTAAATCATGAAACTCCATTTTGCATAAATCCCGTTTTCCAGTATTACTAGTAATCGCCCCTTTGGGACTGCTGTCCAAGCAATTTTGTAACTCTGCACAATTGCGCAAAGTAATTTGTGACTTTTTAAATGATTTTTATTGTCGATGGCAGCGGCAACAATCAACAAGAGCAAAACGTTGGCCAAATTTCGAAGATAAATGTTGGCTGGATGGGGAAGAGCAAACAGAAAAAAAAGGATAGAGCCAGAATCGAAAATTAATTTAAATGCGGCTTTGTAATAAACGAGAAGAATTTCTCTTCGTCTTACATTCTTCATTTATCTGTGTGTGTGTGTGTGTGTATTTGAGTGAATGAATTATGCAACAATAATTCAATGAAGCCGCCGCAAAGTATGCAATAAACAAGGAACTGTCATTGGTTTTTGGTCGGATTGGTTTTTTCCTTGTGCACAAGGATGATTACCACTTTATTTGCGAGATGGCTTTTGCGAAACCCGGAATGAAGTGGAGAATGAGGCTGTGCACTGGCAATATGTCAGTTACAATTACGAGAACTGGCCAAGACCGACGTGCCTGACAAACAATTACCAGCAACCGCCGAGAATTGGGAAAAATGGGCCAGCAGGATGTCCCTTCTGCGGGCAAAGGAAGCTGGCGCCGGATCTGGGCGACAGTTTGAGTAATTATTGAGGCTGCATTCTGAGGCAGCAACAATCGCCAGCGTCGCACTTTTTTGGCAGACATCTCGTGTAATTGGAAATTAAATTACGAGTACGACAGACGAGTTGCAGGCAATCGGCTGTAAATCAAGGCATCTTGTTCATTTAAGCGTAAGCGATTTGATTCATCAAACTGAAATAATCACAATCGAACGGCCCTGAATCCTTGATTGGACTAAAAAGCTGAATTAGTCTAATAGCCGTGGCCTTGACATGGATTTTCAATTATCTAAGCCAGATAACTGGGGAAACTAAATTGCAATGGCAATTATACTCTTAGAGCTCAACAAAAAATAACTGTTTATGGCAAGAATCAGAAATTTCCTACTCCCTTACTAATATTTACTACAACGAAATACTTGATATTAAAAAGGATATCACAAAATAAAGCTATAATTAAAATGCTATAACTGAGTAGTTATAATATAGATTTTGGGCTGTACGATTGTTGTGCTCTTGTTTTGTGAAACCGCCACAACCAATAGCGATTGTAATTCCCATTTTGCATTGTTTTCCCCCAAATCTGTTCTAAATTCCCTGCAATATTTGCACACAAGTGCAGTGGACAATTAATGCTAATGCAGTTATTTATCTCAATGTCGCCATTTTGTTTATTCATAAATTCTAGTCCCCCTCCCCCCTCGGGACAAACCCCTTGCGTTTGTAGCACGTTTATTTCCACCTTTATTACAAGTCTTTCACCCATTTTCATTTCACGGCTTTTAGGGGAAGTGGGGAGGGGGAAGGGGGACGTTGGCGGCGTGGGCGGTGGGACAAATGGCGATGATGATATTTTTTCGCATTTCTGGCGTCCGCCATTTTGCCGCATACTTTTTTCCCTATTTTCCAGCTAATTTACTAGCTGTTGTTTTTGTGCACGAGGCGCTCGGGACTGCATACATATACGCGGAAACGCATACACATACATATACACATACAAGTCCATGTCTCTCTTAGCGATTCGAGTGGCAGCGAAGGAGACTAGAAATGACGCTGGCGTGGGTTCCAGGGAATATAATAAATTTCAGCCGCCGCC